AGAGAGAGAGAGGCAGAGACACAGGCAGAGGGAGAAGCAGGCTCCATGCACCGGGAGCCCGATGTGGGATTCGATCCCGGGTCTCCAGGATCGCGCCCTGGGCCAAAGGCAGGCGCCAAACTGCTGCGCCACCCAGGGATCCCACTAACTCTTGTTTTAAAGACTTCTTGGGGCTCCTGGGTGGCTAATCAGTTAAGTGTCCAACTCTTGATCTATGAGTTCAGGGTCATGGGCTCCACACTCAGCAGGGAGTCTGCATTAGATTCTCTCCCACTCCTTCTCCCTGCCCCTCTCCCCACTTGCTCATGCATGCTCTCTTGCTCTCTGAAATAAATAAATCTTAAAAAAAAAAAAAAAAAAAGGAAAGAGGGATGCCTGGGTGGCTCAGTGGCTGAGCACCTGCCTTTGACCCAGGGCCTGATCCTGGAGTCCCAGGATCAAGTCCTGCATCAGGCTCCCCACAGGGAGCCTGCTTCTTCCTCTACCTGTGTCTCTGCCTCTCTCTGTGTGTGTGTCTCTCATGATTAAATAAAATATTTTTTAAAAAAAATTTTTAATAATAATAAAATAAATAATGGCTGTTTAGCAGAAGTGGGATTTAGGATGATTTTATCTTTCTAAAATCACCTTATCCTTAAATAGTCTAAAGTTGCTGTTGCTTTTTTAACAATATGGATTCATGTATTTTATTTTATTTATTTTTGATTCGTATATTTTAAAACAATAAAGGAAAGGAGGAAAATGGGATGCCTGAGTGGCTCAGGGGTTGAGCATCGACCTTCGGCTTAGGGCATGATCCCGGAGTTCTGGATCAAGTTACGCAATGGGCTCCTTGCATGGAGCCTACTTCTCCTCTGTCTGCCTATGTCTCAGCCTCTGTCTCTCATGAATAAATAAATAAAATTTAAAAAAAAAAAGAGGAAAATGCACCTTACAGGCCTATCTCTCTTCAATGGCAGTGAAGAACTAAACATGAATCATTTGCATTTCAGCTTAGAAAAGCTTGGCATATTAAACATTAATATCACCATTTATCTGACCAAAAATGATTATGGGTGTTTTTCTAAATGTAATTAATCAAAATCAAACTCTGAAATGGGATACTGAGAGAGAAAAATCAGTGTGAAGAGATAATTCTCCTTGAATTTATATACAATACATGCACTATGCCATGATATTACATTAGATCTATTGAAGTTAAAAGCTAAATTATAGGAGTGGTGTATTTCAGGACTAGGATATAGAAGTGTGGATCAATTCCAAAAAGGTTCTAGAAAGACTGCAGAAAATAGATTCATTTTATAGACTTCATTCTTTCCTGTATTTTAAAGATATTTCCAGGGTACCTGGGTGGCTTAGTCGGTTAAGCTTCCAACTCCTGATTTCTTGGCTCAGGTCATGATCTCAGGTCCTGAGATCAAGCTCTGAACCAGGCTCCTGGAGTCGGCTTAAGATTCTCTCTCTCTCCTCACCATCTTTCCCACTTTCCCCTGCCCACAGGCAGGAGGTGCTTGCTAGCTCTATATCTCAAAAAAAAAAAAAAAAAGAATTATAACAAGATGATCCCAATACAACTAAATTTCCTTTTATCACCAAATTTTACATATAATACAGTATTTTCATGCAAAGTAAATAAGGCTTGAGGCCTCACCTTAGCCAGAGACATTTGGGGGATGGGAGTAGTAAATGAAAGCTCATAAGAAGCCTATGGGTATTCATAACTTATTAAATGTGACTTAACTTCTTGCCAGTGGCATAACTTCATGAAGTTGGGTCACCTACCACTACATTTGGCAAATGATGGGGTTAGGACAGTACTCCTGAAACCAGTATTACACTATGTATTAACTAACTAGAATTTAAACAAAAACATGAAAAAACAACAAAGATCAAGGCAGGAGAGGCGCAGCTTTTCAAATTCCAAAAAAGCATCCAGCCCCAGGAAAATTCTGGTTACTCCACTCCAGTATAGCAATTTGTCAGATCTCTTAGGAATGTTGCTGTAGAGTACACATCTCCCCTCAACCCTCTGTGTCTTTGTCTTTATGTCTTCTCTCTTGCACATCTTTTTGTAAAAAGTGTTGAGTGGGGAGGGTAAGAACCCACGCATGGGCTTTTTTAGCATGTATGATAAAGATAAACCCTTCTTCACTAGAGTCTCTTTTCACCTCTCAATTACTAATCAGCCAACAACAACATTGACATAACTTCAGACAGAACTCTCCTGGGAGCAACCACACACTGTTTAAAAAAAAAGAAATCAGTAGACAATACAGACTTATGTCAGGATCTAAAAAGAATAAGCTTTGTGACAAAGCAAAATGGTTTCAAGTCCAGATGGCTTATAGGGGCTGTTTTGCCCCACTGTTCTGGAGAAAAACAAATGAATACTTTGAAAACGCAAGCTCCCGAAGTTTAAAAAAAAAAAAAAAAAATCCCTAGAGACTGTTCCTAATTGGGAGTAAAGATGCAAGAGCCAAAAAAAGAAAAGCCCTGTATTAGTAACTTTGACTACAGTAGTTGTCTACAAAATAATACCACCAAATAAAAGTATCAATGCTAGGTATCCCCACATTTACTCTACAGGGTGAGGGAAGGAAAATATTGCATTATATTAAGTAATTATTAGTAAATTCAATTAAGTTCTGCTAAATGTAATTGTTTTTCAATGTAGTATCTTTAAAAAATAAGAGGATGAGGATATATCATATTTTTTTCAAGATTTTAATTTATTCATTTAAGTAATCTCTACACCAACGGTGGGGCTCAAACTCATGACCCTATGATCAAAAGTCGCATGCTCAGGACGCCTGGGTGGCTCAGTGGTTGAGCGTTTGCCTTGGGCTCAGGGAGTGATCCTGGGGCCCTGGGATTGAGTACCACATGGGGCTCCCCAGAGGGAACCTACTTCTCCCTCTGCCTGTGTGTGTCTCTGCCTCTCTCTGTGTGTCTCCCATGAATAAATAAAATCTTAAAAAAAAAAAAAAGTCACATGCTCTTCTAACTGAGCCAGCCAGGTACCCCAAGAGGATAGACCATATAAAACAATGCCCAAAGGATAGGATTTCTCCCTCTAATCCAAAATGTGGAAATTTTTCATATACAAATGGTTCAATTTCTTCAAAACTCAATAGCAAGGAGAAAAAAATGGAGAACTCTTATAGATTAAGAGAAATTTATGAGACATTTACCAATATAAATATGCAAACCATATTATTTGATCCTGATGGAGACAATCAATTTAGGGGTGCATGGCTGGCTCAGTTGGTAGAGCACACAGCTCTTGATGGGGGTATGGACATGAGTTCAAGCCCCACACTGGGCATAGGCTTACTTTTAAAAGGGGGCGGGGAGGGCAGCCTGGGTGGTTCAGGGGTTTAGCGCCGCCTTCGGCCCAGGGCCTGATTCTGGAGACCCGGGATCAAATCCCACATCGGGCTTCCTGCATGGAGCCTGCTTCTCCCTCTGCCTGTGTCTCTGCCTCTCTCTCTCTCTCTCTCTCTCTCTCTCTCTGTGTCTCTCATGAATAACAAACAAATAAAATCTAAAAAATATATAAATAAATAAATAAATAAATAAATAAATAAATAAAAATAAAAGGGGGTGGGGAGGGATGCCTAGGTTGCTCAGTGGTTAAGTATATCTGCCTTTGGCTCAGGGCGTGATCTCCGACTTCTGAGATCGAGTCCCACATCGGGCTCCCTGCATGGAGCCTACTTCTCCCTCTGCCTGTGTCTCTGCCTCTCTCTGTGTGTGTGTCTCGTGAATAAATAAATAAAATCTTTAAAAATAATAATAAATAAATAAAATAATAAAAATAATAAAAGGGGCAGGGAGGCAAACAGGTGGCCCAGTCAGTTGCACTAGTAAAAGTTAGTAACATCCCTAATACATCCCCCAGTTCCATCACAGAGCAGTTAGGGGGCCCTCCTGCCTACCCACACAGAAGACAGGGAGTTTGTTTTCTGAATAAACTCAATAAGAGAGATTCTATTTTTTAAAAAAAGATTTTATTCATTTGAGAGACAACATGTGCACAAGCAGGAAGGGAGGGGCAGAGAGAGGCAGATTCCCTGCTTAATCCCAAAACCCTGAGATTAGGACCTGAGTCAAAGGCAGACACTTAACCGACTGGGCTACCCAGGCACCCCTCAATAAGAGAGATTCTAGATAAGGGAATACCACTAACAAATAGGTGACAAATGAAAAAAAAAATGAAGTGAAAATCTATATACCAAGCAGTAATACTGACAGCCCCTTTTCCTCACCCAGATTCTAATAACTAGGCTTATCTACCACTCCACTCCCCATGACATTATCTTTCCTTGGCAAAACTCAATGCCTGAGCAAAAAGACCATGATACTGAAATCTGGGTTCCCAATAGGCAATAAACTGCTTCCAGGCATACAAAGCTTCTGGCCCTCCTTTTTTTAGTGCCTCACACTTGAAACATGAAGAGATAATTAAGGGTTATCAGGCACTTGAAGCTCCAACATGAAAAAGAGAGACCAAAACTACCAGAAAAAAAATGGGACTCTGAGGAAACAGACAAAACAGGAACAAATGAAAACTGTAATTAATATACTCAGAGACCAAAGAAAAGTCATTGCATCCATGAAACCGGAACACTATGCTATTTTTAGAAAGAGGTAGGGGTGGGGAAGAGCAAGAAGAAGGAAGAGCTCTTGGAAATTATAAAAGTATGAACTGAAGAATATAACACTTATCCTATCTTTCTTGTACAAACTATACCTTAGGGTAATCAAACAGTTGATGAGGGAGAAGTTCTCTTCTATAAGAAAATTAGGTAAAAAATGAAGGAATAACTGAGTTAGAATAGCACCATTTCCCAATCCTTAATGAAATAATAGGGAATATCCAGTCACCGTTCAGATTTTCCTGGTTGTCTCATAAATGTTTATAGCTAGGATCCAAACAAAGTCCCTGTGTTACATTTGGATGATAGATCTCTTAGGTCTCATTTAAAATACAGATTCCCATGTTAGTTTCAACAGCACATATACTAAAATCAGAACATACAGAGAAGATTAGCATGGCCCCTGCACAAGAATGATACACAAATTTGTGAAATAACAGATTCACCCTTTGGCCCAGGGTGTGATCCCGGAGTCCCTGGATCGAGTTCCACATCAGGCTCCCTGCATGGGGCCTCCTTCTTCCTCTGCCTGTGTCTCTGCCTCTCTTTCTGTCTTTCATGAATAAATAAATTAAATCTTTAAAAAAATGAAATAAAATAAAAAATTAAAATAAAACATTAAGAATGATCTGTTACAACCACTGATGATCATAAGGGAATACTATAAACCATTGTAAAGCATAATTTAGATTTATCCAGACAGACCCAGTCTGTTGCCAGTTATGAGGACATAAAACTGAACTGAACAGGCAATTCACAGAAAAGGCAAATAGATCATCAAAATGTAAGAAAATGTGCTCAACCACACTAGTGATCTGAGAAAAGCAAATTAAAATAAAAGGTTGTTTTACAAATATCAGATTAAAAACTAAAGCCAAAAAAGTCTGAGTGTCAAGTGCTGGCAAACAAACATACAGGGAGGGGTGCCTGGGTGGCTCAGTTGGTTCAGTATCTGCCTTCCTCTCAGGTCATGATCTCAGGGTCCTGGCATCTAGACCTACGTTAGGGGGCGGGGGGGTTGTCCCTGCTCAGTAGGCAGTCTGCTTGTCCCTTTCCCTCTGCTCCTCTCCGCCAACCTAGCTTGTACTCGCTGTCTTTCTCTCTCTCAAAATAAATAATTTTTTTAAAAAATGAGGTTTCTCTAACAGGCAGGATTCTAGAAGTATTTCTATAATGCTTTGGTTCTGTTTTGTTTTTCACAAAGAGCATGTATTTTATCTATCAATAGGTAAAGTAAGTAAACATAAACAAATAAAACCTTTAGATAATAGCCAAAAAGTACTATACATATGAATTTTACTCACACACAAAGAATTTTACTTACTGCCCAAACTATCATCCATAATTGTATAAATGTAATAGAACATGATCATTTTAGGGGTGCCTGGGTGGCTCAGTGGTTAAGTGCATCTGCCCTCAGCCCAGGCCGTGATCTCAGAGTCCCGGGATCGAGTCCCATATCGGGCTCCTGCTTCTCCCTCTGCCTATGTCTCTGCCTCTCTCTGTGTGTGTCTCTCATGAATAAATAAAATTTAAAAAAAAATCAGTGAGGGGAACCCAAGTGGCTCAGTCAGTTAAGCATTTGACTTCAGCTGGTCATGATATCAGGGTCCTGGGATCAAGCCCCCTGTTGGGCTCCCAACTCAGTTGGGAGTCTGATTCTCCCTCTCCTTTTCCTCTCCTTCTCTCTCTGCCCCTCTCTCCAGTCATGCTCTCTCTCCCTCTTGTGCTCTCTTACATAAATAAATAAATAAAATCTTAAACCAAACAGTGGATCATCTTTTCTTTCCAGTTATTTTCTGTGGGTTTTTTTTTCCGTGTCTAATGGTAATTCGCAAACATGCATCAATGGTGGAGAGAGGGATCCCTGGGTGGCTCAGCGGTTTAGCGCCTGCCTTCAGCCAGGGCATGCCTAGAGTCCTGGGATGGAGTCCCACATTGGGCTCCCTGCATGGAACCTGCTTCTCCATCTGCCTATGTCTCTGCCTCTCTCTCTCTCTGTCTCTCATGAATAAATAAAATCTTAAAAAAAAAAATAGAACAGTAAAATAAACTGCTAAATACTATCACCTAATTTCAACAATTGTCAGCACATGGCACATACTGTTTTGTCTGTATTCTTCCTTTTTCCCCTCAACAAACCTCAGCATCATAGGATTTCACTACAAATACTTTAGTATGAATTAAAGATACATTTTATTGCTTTGATTGAAGATCACCAATGGCTACTTAAGTGTAGACTTCTAAACTCTACCTTGGCCTATAAAGCCCAGTGAGTGAGCAGCTCCTCCATGATTCTACTACTTCATTCCCTCTTTTTCCTCGACACTGGCTGACTCCTTAATTAAAACTTTTTCCTACCTTAAATTCTCATTTCCTTTACCTAGAACACTCTCCTTTGATGGTCTCCTCCTCATTCTTCATTTCATAACTGAAATGTTATGTCCCCCGTGACCTTCCCTGACCATCCTACCAAGGAGGGGATACAGTCATTATTTTAGCTTTTCACATGTAATTTTTAATTTTCAGGTACACACACACACCTTTTTAAAGAATTTTTACACTACCAAACTTGTTATAAAATTAGACTTCTGTCTGGTTATTTCCAAACATTAAAACAAACAAACAAAACCACACACTCCAACCTAAAAAGATATCTGAATAGCACTGACTTATCTAATTACAGGAAAAGCACTTAACAAAATTCAGCATCTCTTCGTAATGAAAACACTCTACAAACAACAGAAAGGAACTCCCTCAAATCCTCACAACTACATCATATTTAATAGGTAAAGACTGCATGCTTTCCTCATAAGATCAGAAACAAAACAAAAACTTTACTCTTGCCATTTCTATTCAATATTGTACCAGGAGGTTCTAGTTAGGGCAATTAGTCAAGAAAATTAAATAAAAGGCATGCAGGCAGTGGAGAAAGAAGTAAAACTGCCTCTATTTGCAGACAACACGATAATGTATATATAAAAAAGTCTTCAAGAATCCATACACAGGGACATCTGGGTGGCTCAGTGGTTGAGTGTCTGCCATCAGCTCAGGGCATGATCCTAGAGTCCTGGGATCGAGTCCCAAATTGAGCTCCCTGCATGGAGCGTGCTTCTCCTTCTGCCTGTCTCTGCCTCTCTCTCTGTGTGTGTCTCTCATGAATAAGTAAATAAAATCTTAAAAAGCAAACAAACAAACAAATAAAAAAGAATCCACAAACAGGGACACCTGGGTGCCTGCCTTTGGCTCAGGGCATGATCCTGGGATCTGTGATTGAGTCCTGCATCGGGCTCTCTGCAGGGAGCCTGCTTCTCCCTCTGCCTGAATCTCTGCCTCTCTCTCTCTCTCTGTCTGTCTCTCATGAATGAATGAATGAATGAATGAATGAATGAATGAATATTGTTTTGAAATCCACACACAAAAAATCTATTAGAATATGGGGTGCCTGGGTGGCTCAGGTGGTTAAGCATCTGCCTTCAGCTCAAGTCATGATCCCAGGGTCCTAGATCAAGCCCTGAATCAAGATCCTTGCTCAGCGAGGAACCTGCTTCTCCCTTTCCCTCTGCCTGCCACTCCTCCTGCTTGTGCTGTGTCAAATAAATAAATAAATAAATAATATATTTTTAAAATCTATTGGAATAAGTAAGTTCAGCAAGATACAAGATCAATATACAAAAATCAGTTGTATTTCTAAACACTTGCAATGATAAGAAAATGAAATTAAGGGGTGCCTGTCTGACTTAGTCCATAGAGCATACTATTCTTGATCTTGAGGTCATGACTTCAAGTCCCACATGGCGGGTAGAGTTTACTCCAAGAATAATTAATTAGGAACACCTCGGTGGTTCGGTGAATTGAGCATCCAACTCTTGATTTTGGCTCAGATCATCATCTTGGGGGCCCTGGGATTGAGCCCCATGTCAGGCTCTGCGCTTGGAGGGGAATCTACTTTTCCCCTTCTTCTTCTCTCTTTGCTCTCCTGTTCATACACTTGGGCATACACATACCCTCCCTCTCTCTCTCTCTCTAAAATAAATAAATAAATAAATAAATAAATAAATAAATAAATAAATAAATAAATAAATCTTTTTTAAAATAAAAAGATATATATATATATATTTTTTTATTTATTTATGGCACACACAGAGAGAGAAGGGGGGGGGGGCAGAGACACAGGCAGAGGGAGAAGCAGGCTCCATGCAGGGAGCCTGACATGGGACTCAATTCCGGGTCTCCAGGATCACACCCTGGGCTTAAGGCGGCCCTAAACCGCTGAGCCACCGAGGTTGCCCAAGAACTTATTTTTTAAATGAAATTAAGGAAACATCTCCATTTACAAAAGCATCAAAGAAGAACTAAATGCCTAGAAGTGAATTTAACAAAAGAAACGTAAAACTTTTACTCTGACAACAAAACACTGTTGAAAGAAACTAAAAATCCAAATAAATAGAAAGCATCATGTTCATGGATCAGGAGATCTAATATTGGTAAGATGGCAATACACCCCAAATTGATCTACAAGTTCAATAAAATCCCTATGAAAACCCAAGCTAGCTTCTTTGCAGAAATTGACAAAGTGATCCTAAAACTTTCATGGAAATTTGATGGGCCCAGATGACCAAAATAATCTTTAAAAAGAACAAAGTTGGAGGACATATTCCTCAATTTCAAAACTTATTACAAAAAGACAGTAGTCACAACAGGATAGTGCTAGCTTAAGGATAGATGTATAGATCAATGAAATAGAACTGAGAGTCCATGAACGCCTGGGTGGCTCAGCGGTTAAGCATAGGCTTCATCTCGGGGCGTGATCCTGGAGTCCCGGGATCAAGTCCCACACTGGGCTCCCCGCATGGAGCCTGCTTCTCCCTCTCTCTGTGTCCCTGCCTGTCTCTCTGTGTGTGTCTCTCATGAATAAATAAATAAAATCTTTAAAAAAAAAAAAGCCCTCAGATTTATAATCAATTATATTTCAACAAGGGTATCAAGATAATTCCTGAGAAAAGAATGGTCTCATCAACAAATGCTACTGGGACTGGATATCCACATGCAAAGGAATGGATTTGGACTCCATATAAAAAAATAACTCAAAATAGATGAAACACCTAAGCTTAAGAGTGTTAAAACTACAAAACTCTTAGAAGAAAACATAAGTAAAATTTTTGTAACATCTATCTAGACAATGGTTTCTTCTACATACACAAAGAGTACAGGCAATAAAAGAAACAGATAAAACTCCATTTCATCAAAAGTAAAAACTTTTATGTTTCAAAGGACATTATCAAGAAAGTAAAAAGAAGGGTGCCTGGTTGGTTCAGTCAGTAGTGCATGTGTGCGTGTGGCTCTTGATTCTGGGGTCGTGAGTTTGAATCTCACATCGGATGTGAAAACTACTTAAATAAATAAAATTAAAAAAAATTTTATAGTAAAAAGATAACACATAGAA